AGATTTGCATCCAAAAGCTGAAATCAACCCAAATTCAGTCTCTTTTAGCGACAAGCTATCTCCCTTAGTGGCATAGTATCGATTCCCCTGTGTAAACTTGTTTACCATCCATCCCTTTTTAGCATATAAACCCTTGTTAATTCAAAGAGAAGTGATTGCAAGAGGTTCAACCTTGTCAGACAAAGTGAAATCTTGCTCGAGGCTCTTTGTTTGCTTTCTAAATTTGTAGATCTATTACTTAATGCATTCTCCAGTATGTATTCAAGTTATTTCCATCAGTTTTCCTATTTTAAAAGTTCCATTTGCATCTGGATCTGGTTAGTTTAATGGATATGTTATCATTAAAGTCAATCAAGAACCAAGCAAACGACTTAAAGGGGCCTGGACTCCTTTCATTTGAACATACAAGACTATGAACTAAAAGTCCTTGTTTACAAGGCAAGAAAAAGAACTTAATGTGGACTTAACCCATCCATGACAATCCTTTGATAACAAAAAGTCCGAGTAACTTGGGGCGCAAGTAAGTGACTAAAAACACTCTTGTTCTACATCTTCTATACTGAGATAATAGTGGCACGCCTAGCACTTAGTTAGTTTTGATTGCAAGCCTCAAGGCCTACACCTAAGACCCCACAAAGGCACCTTTCAGAACTAACTTTGTCCTCTTCTTGTAGCACATCAACAAGCAAGAGCCCGACTATACATCCAAAGTGCCAATCCCTTGGAAAGCTGTGCTGAGGTCTGAGGATCATTCTCCAGAGAAATCTTTGCCCGAACTTGATCACATCCAAAATTTATCAAAAACAAGACCATTTTTACGACTTGAAAATTGCTTAAGAGACTGCATTTATTTATACCCTATTATACGATATACAAACAACAAAAATAATTGTAAGTGGTGAATTACTCTGGCGGTTAAAACTTTTCTATTAAAAAGAGATAATTAAAGTAATGAGTAGCAATTGATTGTGTTAGTTTATTTGATTGGAAAGCAATACAAATTATAAAAGCATCTCCAAGAAATGCTGCAAAATAACCAAAATTCTATTTTAAAGAGAAATTCAAAAAATTTATGTCAAAGAAATGCTGTTAAAGACTCTCTGTTATAGAAAAATTAACAATCACTTTTTAAATTTAGAGCGCAACTATTCACTTGCTAAATATTAAAAAACATAAAACTCAAGGGTCCACCCTTGAGCAAGGAGAAAAGAAAAAAGAGAGAAAATTGTTTTAGAAAATGAGTGGGTTGAGTTTGAATTGTTAATAATAAAACATTTGAAGTTTGTGAAATAAAGAATGTTATTGGAGATGAAAGGTTAATTAAACTGAGTACCTAAAATAGTTTTTTGACAATATGCACTTGTTAGTTTAATAAAAAATTAGTATTCCTCTCAAAGATGCTTTTTTATTTACTTAAGAAGAGTTTGAAACTATTATTATAATTTAAAAAATGAGGAAGTTTCAAGTCCAAGATGAAAAAATCTCAATAACCTATACACTAAAATATTACATCACATGCAACAAAAATACTTTAATACAAGTAAAAGCAAAAAGGGAAGTTCTTATACCCAATGTTGGTCCAAGGGCGCGGAGAAAACGCTATGTGTCAAGTCACAACGTGGACCCTCTCAAATATACATCCCATCTATCCATATTCCTGCTACGCCTACGACCCTCCCTTCAATTTTCTTTTATTGTGTTTCAACTTTCTGGGACTGCAACACGTCTTCCTTCGTTCATTGAGTATGTGGTTTAATTCGATGCAAAACAAAGAACTTTACCAGGACTTGACATACCGCAAATCCTCTTGAAAGGGAGGAGTGCCTTCGGGAACTCGACACAGCTAGTGCATGGTTGTCGTCAGCTCGTGCCATAAGGTGTTGGGTTAAGTCCCCCAACCAGCAAATAACACACAGCCAAGAAGCTCAACTATAAATATTTTTCTCCACATTTGGACATGTTTTGTTTGTTTTTCTTTTTTATGTGTTGCAATTATTAGGGTTTGTAACCAAAAAATTTGTGTTGAGCCATACAATAAGCCTGATGTAATTATTAAGTATCGAACTTTCCATTACAGTAAATCGAATCTAACACATCATTTTACAAGTGAAGAGATATTCTTCTGACTTTTTTTTCATACAATAATATATTTACACTAAGGGACTGAGCTAGTCACACAATGAGTCAGTCATTTTAATTGGTCTTGAATTCTCCATCAACGTGAGTCGAACCTAACACCTTTTATTAGCAAGCAAAGAAGAATATAACTATATCGTTGTACAGTGCAAAATATTATCATGTCATTAGCTAGCTTGTTTTGTTCCTTTTTGCTAGGGCCCGTACCTTTTACATGATTATGCCACATCGTTGTTTTAAGCCCGACCCAAAAGGGAAGATGGAGACTGAAAAAAATATGGAAAACGTTGTCATGGCCACATCCCCTTCTTTTAAGCCCATATTTGACAAAATGATACCAAACCACAAATGAAGAAGATGTCACACATCACAATTGCCAGATTAGCCCGTCTACTACGAATTGGATGTGCGTTCTTTATTAAAGCAATACATCGATATTATTATAGTCAACAAAATGTAAATGACAATAGGCATGGTATTGATATTATTATCGATAAACATGTAGCTAGCGCAAATGATTTTTTTACCCGTGTCGTCTCGAAAATAATTTCTTTTGATTGTATGACTTATCTATAGTTTTGGTTAGTGTGGGTGCGCTTGCAAAGCGAAACAAGCACTTGAGGTTTTAAAAGTAGTTTAAACCAATTGGGAGACGATGGTGGCGACTCGAGAACTTCAAGCTTGCAAGCTTCCGAATTAGGTTGGAGAGAAGATAGATGAAAAGATGTTGGAGTGATCCGATGATTGAGCGCCCCACAGACCACAGACGCCTCCGTCGCTGTAGTGCCAAAATCTCTTTTCTACTTGATGTTGATTATCATTATTGCTATCCTTTCGTTATCGAGAACTAGGGAGTCCAAACTTGGAATCTCTTTCGATATTGGGAAGAATAGAAGCACTATATCAATAGCAAGTTGTAATTCAAAATCGCATTCAAAGCCTATTTGTTAATGTACTAGAAAGGGAAAGAGTTTATGTGTGGATAGCGAAAAAAGTGCTTCTAAAATTTAAAGTACTTCCTAAGTATTTTTGGACTTGTTTGAAAAAAAATTTAAAAATAACTAAAGCAACTTTTAGAAAAAAAAATTTTGAGTTCTAAAAGCACTTAGTAAGAATTTGTCCAAATATATTTTTATAATTTAGCCATTATAAACTTCCAAAATAGAAGTGGTTCAATGTTTGGCCGAAACCAATAAAAGGGGTTCTAACACAGCACCATAGAAGAACAACAAGGGGATAAGAGAAAGCTTTCGCAAGTGGTTAGTAATGAAATTAAAAATATAATATGTAATATTATAATTTCTTTGCAGGATTCCAAAGATGTGCTAGTTTGGGGTCCAAATACAAATGGTAAGTTCTTTATTAAATCGGCTAATTGGATTTAGAAGGGGACGCTGACTCAATCTACAAAGTATAAGTTAATTAATAAGATGTGGAAACTTAATATTCCTCTTAGAGTGTAGATGTTTGCGTGGTTGTTCATTCGTGATAGACTTCAAATTAGGACAATATTAAGTCATATTGTGATTAATAGTGATAAGATGTAATTTTTGTAATTCGTAGACGAGGACCAAATGCATTTATTCTTTAATTGCGATGTCCCTAAATCGATTTGGGACCTTTTTTCAATTAATTAAGCCGGGCAATTTCACTAATGCTAACTTTAACTCAATAGTAGACTGGTTAAATTCTTTAAAGCATGTTGTAAGGAAGTTCCTAGTGATTTAAGCTTGTGTTTGCTCTTTTGCTGGCAAATTTCGTGTTTAGAAATGTTATGCCCATCTTGGCGAGATCTAAATTATTAGCTATATCTATGCGTGAACGATATCATAGAGCCAATCGTAAAGGTTTAAGAAGGAATAGTGATGATACTTCCATGATTATTAAATGGCATCCTTCATATTAGAGTTATGTTAAGCTAAATTTTGATAGTTCGTTGGCTAGGGACGAGGCGGCGGTGGATTTTGTCTTAAAGAATCATAATGGGCATCTTATTGGAAGTGGAGCTTTAAATCTTGACGGTGCCACTATTTCAGAAGTGGAGGCTAAGACTCTTAGAGAGGGCCTTCTTTTTGCTAAATTTTGATAGTTCGTTGGCTAGGGACGAGGCGGCAATGGATTTTGTCTTAAAGAATCATAATGGGCATCTTATTGGAAGTGGAGCTTTAAATCTTGACGGTGCCACTATTTCAGAAGTGGAGGCTAAGACTCTTAGAGAGGGCCTTCTTTTTGCTCATAGAAAGGGCTATACAAAAATTATGGTTGAAGGTGACTCTAAGTTGGTTTTTCAATCAGTGTTGGATCGGGGTGCGACACTGTGAAATTCGATTCCTATTATTGAAGATATCAAGTGGACTGTGACCAAATTTGCTTGCATCGACTAGAAACATATATTTAGAGAGGCCAACTTTGTGACGAATGCTTTCGCTCGCCAAAACCTTATTACTAATTGTCATATTTGAGAACAATGATGGCAGATGTCCACATTCATCAATGCACAAAAAACTAACATTCATCCACTTTGGTCGCTCCAACTAGCAGAAGGCTAAACGCACTTTTTCTATACTTTACCAAGCTTGTATATTATAATGCATCTAACATTGATATTGAGAGGAACATAATTTCTAGACGGAAGTGCCATCACACACCTTTTAATTTCGACTATCAAATCGTATGAATTAAAAAAAAAATCGAACGAGTTTTAGTGTACACATTATAGGGAAAGGCACATACTACGAAGTGATGACCGCAAAAATCAAACATCCAACGAGTTTTAGTACAGAGGGCACATCAAGACTTTTGCCCATCGCTAGTAACCACGGCTCTCCCTACACTAAGAGAAATGCTGCCACAAGCGTCAACTATTTAGTAAATCTAAGTCAATCACAAACTTGAAAGACATACCTTGAGAACTGAAGGGCAAATATCCGATGCTTAGAAAATATCGAAAGTCTCAAAACATTCAAAATTACAAAGTTCATACCATGTCTAAAAATCCCTTAATAAAATGCATGTCCAAAACTAATAGAGATACTGAACTACATTCATAAAGACAACCCTTCAAGTGCTCACTTCTTATCACCACCAGACCTGCACATATAACAAAACATACTTAAGGCTAAGAGATCATATGATTCCTCACCAACACACGGTATAAAAAACCATGAGCATTGCACAAACTATTTACTCAGATATCAGCAAATTTCAGGAAGAAGTCTACAATTAGGCAACAGTGTATAGTAGGCATCATATTGCAACCAACAACGTCTACAATTAGGCAACAGTGTATAGTAGGCATCATATTGCAGCCAACGACGTTTTGAGTGACACAACACAGTCTAGTAGTCTAATTAAAAAAGCCAACAAATGATATCACCAGCTATAACAGATCAAGTTGAAAGCATAAGCATGCTATCACCATCCACCGATAGAGAAGACTACTATAAATGCCAGCATATGGGGCTTGAGACAATCTTAAGCACACTTAAGATTATGTTTACTGCAAACATATTTCATCAGCTATTGTAGAGATGCCATGATTAATATTCTAACTAGTCAGTTTTCATAGCATTGGCTCACTTATATATTACCAATTTAACTTATATATTATCAAGTCATCGTTGTTTTCGTATATTTCCACAAACTTACACAACACATGCATAAGTATATATGCAAATACAAGAAACAAACAGCTTCAAAGCAACAATACTCACAAAAATGCAACTAGTTCAAGACATTGAAATGTACACGCGAATCCACAACGGCGAAAACCAACGAATATCTCACCTCATCTTGCGGAGAACGTTGGACATCTCCTCTCTCTTCTTCTTGGCCCTCTTGTGGGTACCCAACTTTCGCTTGGCCACCTTAAGAGCACGCTTGTCCTTCCCGACCTTCAAAAGCTCGGTAATCCTCTTCTCATAGGGAGCAAACCCCGCAACTTCCCTGATCAAATTCCTCACAAAGTGCACCCTCTTACTAGTTTTCTACATCCCCACAACCCCAAAACACACAAATCAGGACATTATTCACACAAATAAAAAAAACCCTTAAATCCAGAACCCCAAAACCCAAAACAAAAAATTCCACAGAAATCATATGAACAATCGATGGAATTAAGAAATGAAAAGAGAAATTACCCCCTTGCGGTCAGATGGGCGAGGAGGCAATTCACGCTTGGTGACGATGTGGCCCTTGTTGAGGCCGACGAAGATCCCACTCTTGGGGGGCGGCGGGAGCCATTTCCTGCAAGAACAGATGCAATATTCAACAAAATTGTTCGAATACGAACAGATTAAAGGAGGAATGGTAATTAGGGTAGGGAAATTTGAGCTGTATTGGTACCTTGGCGCTGCTCGGAGAAAACCCTAGATCCTGGCTGTGGAGAGAAGGCGCGGCGACCCTAATGTGCTTACAGAAACTAAAACCCTAGCGATTCAGTCCTTTAAATACTGCGTGGTCTCGCTGTTTTTTATTCAGCACCACGTACGTGGATTTGGAAACGCCGCCGGCCCACATATTTTAGGTTTTGGGTTACGGGTTGAACCGATTGTTGGGCTTTTGGGCTATATGCTTTTGAGCCCAGAAAATGTTGGTGACTCGGTCCAAGAGAATTCATGGGTTTCAATTTTTGAAACCTAATGCTCCCAACAATTTGATCATTAGTTCATTACCATTCATTTTCTCTTTTTACAAAATTTTAAAAGCTCGTTTAGTATTCTACTAAAAAAATTTCACATGTTTTGAAAATATTTTTTAATATCATTTCTTAAAAACAATTTTTTATAAGAAAAAAATTTGTTTGATACAAAATTTAAAATTATTTTTCTTAACAATCGAAAATATAATAACATAAAAAAGACCCCACTCCCTTTCACCATCGACCTCCCCTTCCCTTACCCTCCCTTTCTCTCCGTGACCAAACATGGCAATCTCTTCACAAAAAAAGACCTAAAATTAACACAAAATTTGTAAGAAAATCGCTTGCAGATGCAGTTCCATAGAATCTCAACGACGAGTTTGTACATCGATTTGCGTTTCAATGCTGAAGAAGACGGATCTGGAGAAACCGATCTCTACGGCGAAGTCGAGGATCCGCCAGAGGAAGGCAGCGGGAACCAATTCAGATGAAGAAGGGTGTTAGGCTGATTTGTAGTCGTGTTTCATGAGATTTGTGGCGAGGGCGAAGGGGAAGCAAAGATCGAAGCTTGTCGGCGCTTTGAATGTTGGTTGTTAAGGGAAAAGATTGCACAAATAAAAAATTCTACAAATTCACTTTATTTATTTGTTTCCAAGTAATAAGCTATACTTTCAGTTATACTTGAATTTGGTTCTTAAGAACAGGCTTTCCAAATGCAAATTTTTTGGTTTAGAACTCAAAAATTGATTTTGAGTTTGATATAATGATCTGAGTTCAAGTCCAAAGGGGTTCTAAATTACTCCCAAGTTTACGTATCAAAATCAATAAAAAAAAAAAAGTAATGCTATCTATACATCTCTTTTTACCTTTCGCCCACTTTGTTTATTTTTTGTCATCAAATGAAATAAATGAAAAAAATCAGATGACAGAAACTAATATAGATGTGTAAAATATAAAAATAAATGTGTGGATAGTACATCCAAAATAAAATAATGTCATGTTTGACTACATAGAATGAGAACTGAAATTATTTTGGGTCTTAGGTTTCTTGCGTTTACTAAACACATGATCAACTGGATATTGAAATTATTACAATTTCTGACTTTCCTGATGTTAGTAAATATATAATCATATAAAGAGTGAGATTTATCTTACATTCGTAATCCAATACCTACAAGTTTAGGAATCAGATAACCAAGGGATAGTTGATCGTAAATTTTTTTCCTTCCGTCTCTTCATGAATTCATAATTTCTTTCGTTCTAAGTAGCATGCCATAAAAGCTCGGTCATTTCCATGTCAGACAACAATAACAGTGTAAAAGCAAAGTTAAATTTAGTGTTTGTGGTAGTTCTAACATATTAGACATTTTTGTTTTCCCATTTAAAATTCGAAACTTCTAAGAGCATCTTCAAATGAGATATTAAAATATTCAAATTAACAATAATTATAAAAAAAAAAACTGCAATGTTTTCCAATCGAGAAGCCAAATTTGATGTGGTATGACATGGAATAGCAGCTCTCCCCCTTGCTGTCAAATTTGACAGCAATGTCAAATATTTTTTTATTAATTTTTTAGTGACATTTTTTTGTTCCAAAAGCCAAACAAACCCAAACTTCGGCCGTTGAAGATGTCCTTGTCGACCAAGACGGCATCTTCTAATCAAGACGAGAAAGAAATAGAGGTCGTGGAGGTGTTGTACGGGATGAAGAGGCAGCCGCAAGGGCCGAAGAAGCAAGAAATTACAGCCACCAATTCGATTAAGTTCGAATCCACAGAAACCAACAACAAATTTACCAGTGACGCTAAATCGAGAGTTTCGTCGCCGATCTCGAACTCACCTTGTGTGGTTCCTCAGCTAACCTCACCTTTCCCTCAAAATTCTTGCTCCTCCGTCACTTCCATGTCGGCCACCGGTGGGTACTATAAGCTCACTAAGCTCTCGGCTTTGTTCATTTCTTTCTAGGTACCCCAAATGCTCTGTTTGGTTGCTGAGAAACTAAGAAAAGACTGCAACCCGTGAAGTATGAAAACAAGAACCCATCAATTTTTGTAGTTCAAAGCAGTCCCACTTCGTCTACGGCTGAAGTGGTGGCTGATCAGCCTTCAAAGGTTGAGAGCCAGAAAATAAGTTTAATAAAATAGTGTAATAAAATAATATTTAATTTGACATACTGGGTGGAGGGCAAAATTTTAAAAGATGTCAAAATGCCACATAGGTTGTCAAATTCAAATTTTATGTTTAAAATTTGACATCTCCTTTGGAGATGCTCTAAAAAGCCAAAATTTATGACCGACTAAAAAATCACTGACCTCATATGAATTGGCTAAGTAGAGCCAGTCTGGTATGACTCGACTCAACCTTCATTGATCAAACTCTGTGGATTCAGCTTGGAAATTTTAGGCCAATTTTAAAGGCTTGTATTTGCTTACTTCTCGAGGAGGATAGCAAATTGGTGAGTATATTTCTTGATACTAAGGTTGGAAGAGGCTTGTTGCTAAGATTTAAATGTTTAAGAGCATTTATCTCTTCAATTCGGTTTTTCAGCTTCATTTGTCCCTGAATAATACCTTCTTTTAATGAAACAAAACGTATTAAGGCTTCTATCCAAGGCAACTTAACATGGACAATATATAGGTCTGGACTAAATTTTGAACAACAACCATATATTTAGCACGTGTTCAAAATAGACGAAAACTGAACAGTTATTGATATTTAAAAATGGAAATGTTTTTGCTTATCACCTTATTTATCAGAAGTACGCTTAAAAATATATATGTCTGAATAGACACAAATCTTATAATTTAAATTTATCTAACAATAATAAATATAATAGTGAACATTAACACTTCTTTAAGGCGGCAAGCAAAAAATGTATCCTTTAAAAAATAAAAAGTATTGTAGCTTATTTTATCTGACAAGGGGAAGGGAGCCGGCGATAAAGAGAGAAAAGAGAGAGAGATGTGTTTGTAGAATTGTATAGAGGAATATGTGTGTTATTCCCTCCTACGTAGTGCCTTTATATATAGTAATAAGAGGGAAAAGAAATGACACACCTGACCCTGATACTCACCAAACACCAGGGTAGGCACGTGCTGGCCGACACCCGAAGGTGATGAAGCCATATTAGGCTGCATGAGAACCAAGAACAATTAACCAACATAAATAAAACTTGTAAATTTAATTATAATGAATATGCATTTGTGGAACGTGTTCAGAACATACAACTAAATCGAGACACCAAAAATGAAGAATATAAAATTGAATGGACAAGGAGATGGGTTCTATACTGAGAGGACTCAAAGATGCCAATGCGGAAGTGCCTTGATGTCGGGATTGTATGCCTCGAATCTAAGTCCCGAGGGGGCACAAAACAAAACATGAGTGGACCAAGTTTATATATAAGTAATACTGAAACAATTATTCATCAACGTACTAACCCCTAAAGTTTATGAAAACTCAATAGTATAATATGTAATAGGTTTTCTAAAAACCTTAGCATGCCATAAAACCTTTACGTAAAACATAAAACATATATTGTATATAATATGCTTAGTAGTGTTATCATTATCGACCGAAGCCATTACATCACCCAACTGAAGCCAAATATAAATATCTTCAAACCGAATCCATCTAAAACGCCCGACTGAAGCCATATATAAGTATCTTCCGACCGAAGCCACCAACCTATGCCCGGCCAAAGCCACCAACCTACGCCCAGCTGAAGCCATATATATATATATATATATATATATCATTCGCTCGTAGGCAGTTCATATGAATAACCACTAAGTAAGTACATAAAAACATTAACATAATATTTATGATATATATATATATATATCTTAATCGGAGTTCAGTAGTTAAAACGTCATATCGTAAAAACCTCGCTCACAAGTATGTATATAGCCATCAATTATATATACCACAAGGAACGTAAAGTCGATAAAGCATGATAATTCATAAATCGTGAAACCAATTTACTCATAAACGTTTCATAAAACGTAACCAATAAATCGTGCTTTTCATGTATGCATTTCTAACAGTAAAATATGCATTTTTGAAGGGGTCCACTCACATATACTTCTTTGTCGAAGAGCCATGCAAACAAGAGAGGATGGAAACGCCATACACAATTGCACCTAAGCACATAAAGGTATCAATTAATAAAACTATACCAAAACGATTGAATTTCACGAAACAGACGTCATAAACGGATTCAAGACGTCGAAAAACATAAGGGGAGACCTTGGGTACCCCCATGCGCTGCCACACGCTCCCTCACGAGCCGTCACGCGTCAATTTGGGTCATTGAAAAGTTGGTTGGAAAAGTCGCCGGCACCGCTGTGGATGGCGGCGGAGCACAGTACCTCCGGTGGAAGCGCATGTGCTCCACGCGCCAACTAAGACCTGCACTCACGCACGCCTACGCGTAGGCCCACGCGTGGCCAGGGTTCTAGGTTGGGCTGAGGCTTTTAGGCCGAGACATTGGGTTTTGTTCAGTGGGCCAAAGGCCTGGGTTTTGGGTTCGCATAAGCTAGGTTGGGTTTTGAGTTAGGGCCTGGTAACCCGGCCCAAGGGTTTGGGCTGGTGGATTTGGGTTTAGGGCTACCGGATCAGGTCGACCCGGTTTTCAGACTGGTTCTCATGAAGACGAAAGTCGGAGCTTCCCAAGTTCTGGTCAACCTTGAAACTCAACCATAACCTACGATCTACCCACCAAGTTGAAGACAACCAAGTGTAGATTAGGATTATACCTTTGGTTTCCCTAGTAGTGGTCGGAGTTGGCCGAAAATTAGCTTGAAAGCCGTCGGACCTTGCTGAAATATTGGAAAAGTCTTCTCGAAGAAATCGTGCTAAAATCCTTCACAACAACGCT